GTTTCCCGTGGTGATGCATAACTGATATAAATAAAATACAGTATTTATGACACTAATAAAGAAAGTCAGTCATTTAGTATGTAACGACAGAAGGCAAGAGTCAGGCAACAGATCGTTTATTAAAGAAATCAAAGCATATTTATATATTTTCATGTACATTATTACAGATTAGTTAAGCAAACAAACACAGTCTTCCGATTGGTTGTTTCTCACGTAAAGTTAATCTTTCATCTATTTGTGACTGTTTCTTGAATGTCAAATCCTCTATATGTTAACTGCATCCGCCTACGCAAAGTCTGCTGTGGTCGGTTTTGAATCAATCTTTGTTCACATTTTCTCACGACAAATCTTGGGAACGTAAATATTGATGTAAATTACTGTCTACCAATGTGGCTAGTAGACAGCTCTCACCGCAAGTATATTAAATAATTGTCTCATCTAGCCTACTGTTCATATTTTGCCCTTAAAGTTTGAAAATACTATAAGACTATAATTATTATTAATATCATTCCCTTGGATTCCGAGTGGAGTGTAGGACATCAGTAGTACATCTGAGTTGCACTCTATTCCCTGTAGTCCATTTTGAAATGACTCCAAAACTGGCCATAAGCTTTGATTTTCTTCACAAATGATCTCCTCTATGTCACGCTCAGACGCCCAGCCTATTGCTTTCCACTTGAGTTCCATTCAAGGGTTTACCTGGCATGTGATGCCATTTGAAAATACCATCAGCTTATATCCAATCCATCTTTATTTGCTTCTGCATATTTGATAGGCTAGTCATAATTTCTTGTCTAGTTCTCTAAACTTCCAGAATTCCTCCTTCCTTATCCGAACTGTCAATAGCCAGCCAGCCAGCGAAGACAGGCGTTGGTAACAGTCTGCAACGTGTTCGTTATGCTTCCTCTGGCTCACACGCCAAGAAGCACTGACTTAACATTAGTATTGAAGGTTTAGATCTTGTAGCTTAAACTGGTTGCAGTAGAATTTCCACACTGCTTTGCTTTATAGCCTTGCTAAGCATGAAATCTTAGCGTGATCACCGTCGATACTAATCATCAGAATACTAGGCAAGGATAGAATAAAGTTAGTCGAAGACGTTATAAACATGCGTCTACTGAAGTGACTCGAATTTAGGCTATTTATTCTATACTCAATGTTTAGGTATAATAGAATTTGGATCAATAAAATATTAAAGTTAAAAACTGTTCTTTAGAGGGAAGGAGAGGACCTTTATCCTGACGATCACGAGGTACTTGTTTGTCAATGGTTCTCTAACTGATATCATTCCGCGGTTAAACTTGAAACAAACCAAATCCCTACAAACTAACACTTGAAAATTAATCTGATGCTCGCTAGTGACTGCCTACAGGACGAAGTCGCCTGGAGTTCCAGTGAGATGTTGTCACGAGTGGGGTCCATCCTGTTGGGAGTGAGGAGACATACTTGTCAATGACTTTAGCTGGTGTTCGCGCTAGATGTTAGAATTCATGAGCCATTGAGTCCGGTTCCAGTGACTGAATGGTTTACAAGCTCGCCTTGTAACCAGAAGGTCCTGGGTTAGAACTCCGTTGGTGAGTGCGTACTGCCTATGAGTCTCAAACTAGGACGAAACAGCTATCCAGTACTCCCTGGTGGTTTCCAACGGTCCTCTTATTGATATCAATCCTCAATCACACTTGAAACAAGAGCTGTCATCAGAGGGAGAAAGTAACCTTATGTTACATTTACAGCATTGAATTTCAGGTTCAAAAAATTCTTGTTTTTTTATATTGCATCATTATCTAACTGAATTAATTTCTGGACTAAGCACAAACAAATCATTCAAGGGTTGGTTTGTAGGAATTTGATTCTCTACAGGATTTCATCATGAGCTGATATTAGTTAGAGAACCATTGGAAAACCAACACGGAGTACTGGACAGCCAGCTGTTTCGTCCTAGTTTGGGATTCTTCAGCAGTATGCACCCACCGGGATCAGGATCACGTAAGAACGAGAAGGATTGTAGGCGTAATGTTACACTAAAATAGTAACCCAAATTCAGACAATCATTGTAGAAGTAGTAGTAGTAGTAGTTATATAAGCGGAATGTAAACCCACAAAGTAATTTGTTTATGTATTCATCAAGCAAATTCAGACATACTGCCTTAAATAGGATACAAGTAGTCATCGTCAGCTGAATGGAATTAGAATAATGAGTCAGACCATCACATGAATCTACATACTACTAAATTAGAAACGAAACAGACAAATCGATATGACTCATTGTATCATGATCACAGTAAATGTGTTTCAATGTAAGCGTATTTAAGAAAACAACTACAATTATGAATGCCTAGCAAGTAATAAAACTGCTTGACGTAAGTGGCTTCCAACTAGTTTTATATGAATCACAACTATACATCATCATACTATTCTGCTTACTTTTTCCATTGATATTTATATTCTATTTAACAGATTTCATATTGTAATCTGAATATTTTTCGTTCCCCAATATAAAAGAAAACTGTTGTTAATTCCACACTTGGACTGTGCAACTTTCGAATGACTAAGATTATAGCATTAACAGTTCTTCCAAGTAGGTTTCAGATCAGGATTCTGTTAGTTTGAAGTGATTAGGCTGTCTGAGCTGAGTTAGACAGTGGTACACTGATGATCGATCAGCTTGGCAGCAAACTAAACAACTATCTGATACAGGATTTCATCATGTGAGCTGACATCAGTTAGAGAACCATTGGAAAACGAAAACGGAGTACTGGACGGCCAGCTGCTTCATCCTCCTTTGGGACTCTTTAGCAGTACACACTCACCAACGGGGTCTATACTCAGTACCTTGTGGTTACAAGGCTAGCGAGCTCGTAGACCATTAAGCCACTGGAACACGATTGAATGGCCAGCCCATGAACTCTAACTTCTACCAATTCGCGACATAGAGCGACCACTAGGCAATGTCATGCGTGGCGAGTATTTGTCCTCACGCCCAACCTGCTGTATCCTACTGGTCACGACTTCCCACTAGAACGCCAGGTAGCTTGAATTTCAGTGAGATGCTCACTAGCGACTGGCCCTATTCAGAGGGGTAGTTACCTGGGGTTCTAGTGGGAAGCCGTGACCAGTAGAGTACAGCAGGTTGAGTGTGAGGACAAATACTCGCCACGGATGACATTGGTTAGTGGTCGTGCTATGTCGTGAATTGGCAGAAGTGGAATTCATGGGCTGGCCATTGGATCGATTCCCAGTGGCTTAATGGTCTATGAGCTCGCTAGCCTTGTAACCAGAAGGTCCTGTGTTCGAACCCCGTTGGTGAGTGCGTACTGTGAAGATTCCCAAACTAGGATGAAACAACTGGCAATGCAGTACTCCCAGGTTTTCCAATGGTTCTCTAACCAATGTCAGCTCATGATGAAATGCTGTAACCAATCAGTCAAATCGCTACAAACCAATACTTGAACTATCTGGTATTTAGATCGCTTCCATCTGTTAGATGTTAGTGGAATCCAATTACTCATATCACTCAATCAATATTTTGTACCATATATACAATATTATGCTTGCTTTCTTGATTTGCATTTATGGTATTAACCAGATCATATGTGTTGTCGTCTGAATAATCCCCAACTCAAAGGTTAGAATGAGCGATTACAAATGATGAATTTGATTCTACTTACCTAGATGTGCATTTCAAAACAAGTAGTGATAATATTTAACAGATTAATTAATTAATTAATTACCAATTTAAAACAATGTAGAAAAGTTAATGAAGTAAGATTTAATGAATTCATCAAATCTCCGTAGAACTCTTTATCAGAATATTGTAGTTCACTTGTTAGTCACATATTAGTCTACATATTTCTCATAGTTTATTAATGTATCACTGTATGTAGAGTATTCATCGGTGTCCATTAAGTTGGTTGTGAGGATAGATACTCACCGAATAACATTAGCTGGTAGTTGCGTTATAAATGGTGAATTGGCAGAAGTTAGAATTCATGGGCCATTGGTCAACGAGCCGTCTGGTAACATGAAGGTCTTGGGTTTTATCCCCAAGTTAACGGACCCCACTGGTCACCACTCGCGTTGGTGGCACGGCAGTTAGGACTCTCGCCGACCATCCACATGGTCCAAGGTCTGGTCCCCTGCCGATGCACACCTGATATTAATTGGTCGGCCTGCAAAATTTGGGCTGCAGATATCACATGCTGAAAATTCCATACTTGTACCAAAAATATGGGGTGGAATCAAACTATAGTAAATATAATAAGTAACTTCATCCTAGTTTCAGTTACCAGTGTCCAATAGAACGGTTTAAAAGCACACCTTGTAGAGTGAAGCTCCTTGGTTCAATCCCTAGCTGGTTCATGGGTGTGTACTGTGAAGAGTTCCGAGATAGGACGAAACAGCTTTCAATACTTCATGGTTTTTGACGGTCCAGTCAGTTCTTGATAAAGACTGAAAACCTGCTTAATTAACATCGATTACTTGTTTTAGACTAATAAATAGGCCAAAATAATGCAAGCTTAGAATATTCGATAAAAGTGGGATCAACTAATTGTTTAATTTTTACTGATCGAAGTAGGCATTTCCTAACAATTCAGGTAGAAATATGAAGAGAAAGAAAGAAATAGTAACTAAATAATATAAAATTCAACCTGAACACTTGTCATTTATTTTTTTTCTTTCTGTCTCATCATATTTCAAATGGTCATAGTAAGATAAGTTTTATCATTTTTGTCCAGTAAGACTGACTTCAACAACTAAATGACTTCAGACATCCTAGTTTTATTATCAATGAATGAAAGAATCTCTATGTTCTTTCTGTCGTTTGTTACATTCTTGTGATGGACATTTCGGTCTAAAAGCTCCCTTTTTCATCATTAACCCGGGACGTAAGGTAATAATAATAATATAAATAATATTTATTCTTCTTCTTCTCTGGAAATTCATATAAAAGAATTTGTATATTTTCATTGTGTGCTTTTTTATTACTACCTTTTGTGTAGATAATACAAAAGAATCAAAAGAAACTGAACTTCTAGCTCGAACCCTGTATGCAACAGTATCTCGTGAGATTGAAATTGAAGCTAAAGAAAAGAGACGCAGACAACAACATTCTTCTGTAGGAGCACGTCCATCATCCCACTTCACCTGTTGTTACCATGTTCGTCCATATGATGAGAGGTCGAATCATTCAAATGCAGATAGTCCTAATCAGTCATATACCGAAAAGAAGGTATCACCTGGTTCTTCATATCATACAGACAAGTTAGAAGACGGTATCAATATCCATAATAATGATAGTAACAGTAATAATAACTATTATATACCAAACACAACACCTACTGACCCAATCCCCATGAAACAGTCAGTAAATTCAACATCACACTTCCAGTGTTCTCAATCATTTAACCATCATCGTCTACCAGTGAGTCGACCGAATTCAAACACCTCACCACCGCTTACACTAAGACAATTATCCACTGTACGCAGTAGATATGAACAAAGTGAATATGGTACTGTAGAGAATGAAACTCCCAGAAAGTTAACTAAAAGTTCCACAAGCAATCAATTAGACAATCTTCTAGATTCAAATGAAGTCAATAATTGTCTTGGAGATAAAATTCCATCCCTGTCACCGATATCAATATTATCATCGTTATCATCAACCAGTGAACGACCAAAATTCTATAGTAGTAATCTGATTGCACTTCATAATCCGAATAACTATTATTATAATGATGGTATAAGGCTGAAGTATATCACAGAACAAGTTGTACTAGAGAAATCTACTTCACCTTGTGAAAATAAAGGTAAAATGCGATCTTATTCATGGTCGAAATATTCAAGTATTAATAAAGAATCAGGTAAGATACATTTTTATTTTTTTTAAATTTAAACTAGTTTATTTTGTGTACCATTTGGTTGATTTCAAGATAAATCAATCATGAACTGTCAGTATCATCAGTTAGGGGATCTTGGACGAATCAACCGGCACTGAATTAATCCTCCAGTACTGCGTTTGTAGTTAAGATCTCTAAATTACACCAGTACTAGATTGAGAATCAGTACTCTTAAGGATTAATTGATTTTAACACAGCAGGTGAACGAACGGTGGCAAATCTTTTTAAAAATATGACGATATTGGGCTTGATTTATATATAACTAGGTGGCACAGCGGTAGAGTGCTCGCCGACCACGCCTCAAGTGGTTCGGGGTTCGATCTCCGGCCGACGCCGCACTCCTTTACCTCGTTAAGCCAGTCATAAGACTGGTGAAGAGGGAAGGTTGGGCATGAAGCTAGCAGCTTAATCCCGTAAAAATAAATACCATTGCTGCCAAAACTTCAAACTTCTAGCTTGAGGCCCTATATTTCACTGCGGAGGTGAAGGAATTTAAAAAATGGTAGTTGGTAGATTTGTGCTTCAACGGTTCATTGATGGAATGCTCACTCACTAGCCATACAAGAGATCCAAATTCCATTTCTAGCTGATTCACGCCTAAACCTCGTTTAGTCCACTAGCCGCTAGTAACCCCAATGAAGAGGGAGGGTTAGGTAGAACTTAAACAACACTACAGCTAAGGAGTTTAAAGCTTAAGGTGATATGTTCCACTATAATCCAAAAGAAAGAAGAAAGAAGTCAGTATGTTCATTATTCTTGAAGCAACAGACAGCAATCTCAAGATAGGCAACTCCTTCAAAGTGATAGTTATTTTTATCTAGGATTAAGACCAACTAAAACATCAAATAGCAATTTATTAAAACTGGACACCTACTTTCTTTTGATTTCAAACTCTTTGTTTAAGCATATTCAGGACTCAACTATGGCTCAATAAATCCAGCTGTCATTCAATAATCAACACCGTATATTCCTATTGCAGCAAATAACTTTTCCACAATAAGAATTCTCTTCATAAACATGCACATCTGTAGTAGTGAAAAAGTATTTATTTCCACATACATTTAGCTCCCTTTTTGGATGTGTGATACAGACAGTGTGTACCAAGTGAATATTATTCTCACAGGTTCTCACAATTCAATTCGGCATTTGCAATAGAATACGCTATATCTGTTTGAACATCCTATTTCATGTCGTTTAATGTGATACAAAATCACACGCTCAGTGATTGGTTAAAGAATATAAAACTGTATATAGTTGTAAAATGGTGGTTTGATCACTTGAAAATATACCCTGGCTTCCGCGTCTTGCCTTCCGTTGTTACACCTTGACAAATTACAATGGAAAAAGACAAATAAGATTTGAAAAATAAAGTGACGTCATTCTATTTCACAGGTTCCATTTCATCAGCTGCAAACTACCTGAAATTATAATGGTTATAAATAATAATAATAACATTCTTCAATTAGATAGTTGGAGGCAATCGGCAGGAAGCCTTGGACTAGACACGTCACACTAGTTACTAGTGCCCAATCAAACTACCCACTACAGTCCTGCAGGAGGTCAATCGCGAGCCCGAATAGCTCAGTGGTAACGTCTCTAACTGCAGAACTCACTGGGTGACGCCGGTTCGAATCTCAGAAGGGACATGAATCCCTTCAAGGTTGCAGATACGCCTTGCTGAGTGGTGAGTGCCAACTAGCACGACTCCTAGGTCCAAGGCTTCCTGCGGCCGATTGCCTCCAACTATCTAATATCATCACAAACAATGTACACCGTGATGGCGAGCTACCTAGAATGATGGCTACATTGCAAACCTGACTGATAGAATTCAGTCTGCGCCGAGCAAAAGACTAGACACGTCACACTAGTTACTAATGTCCAATCAAACATTCTTCAATGTTTGAGTAGTAGCAGTAGAGAAAACATTATAAAATTAACGCATTACAATTTTTATAAATTGTTTAAAATATTCCCAGCGTTTTTAAGGAAAAATTAAAACAAGATTTTTCTGAACTTTTCGCTGTGTAAGCCACAGCTTCTTCATTAATATTGATTCGGATTTTATCAATCATCAAAATATATGGTCAAAAAATTCTTCTACATAAATGGAAGTCAGTTCATTTGAAGGGCACCTGTCGATAGACATTTGTACCAATAGAAAAATGTAAGCAGTCATCATATATTTGTGATGAGTAATGTCAAATTGTCATATAATGCATATTTGTCTGTATGAGTATGTGTGAGCGTAGTTATTTGTCATATGGGAAGGACACCAACTAACATGTGATAAACATAATATTCTCACAGAGGTTTACACGGGCTTTTGTTGATTTCTCATCTGTCTTGTTTCATTAGAGTCTCTCCTGCTTACTGCATTCGATGTGGTTAAAATGTGCAAAGCTTCAGATGTCAACCCTTCTTTATGTGAATGAAAGCCTCTTTATAATGATTCAGTCTGACTTGGCGCTCAAATTATTCCCAGGAAATTCGTAACATCTACGGTCTGGAAACTTATAATTACAATTTTTAGTTTAATTTACCATCAATTTATATGCCTTTCAAAGTAGAAAAGTAGGAACGAGGAGGAGAAGACATAATGCATAAAAATCTAATAAAGTGTTAGCTTATAAGTTCACACATCAGCTCAAGACAGTTATAGTTCATTAGATTGAGCTGAGATCACTAACTCAGATGACTATTTAAAGTAATCAAAATCCAATTACCAAGAGATTGACAGATTGATAACACTTGTAGACAACTTTCGAACAAGCTCAGTAACAGAACAAGTATTTGAATAAAAATCCAAGTTAATGAGATGATAGTTTAACAAATTTATTATTTAAAAAAAATACAGTAATGAGTTATGTAAATTAATTGGTTACTTTGTTGTACAGTTAAAGTCCACTACTACAAATTATTACTATAATCCACAAGTGTTCACTGTTGTAATCGTGTCTACTTGTATAAGCTGTGTACCGGTTGTAGAATAGTCTTCGCATGAGGATAAGAGGTTCCTGCAATAAATCCAAAGTATGCAACATGGTTATGAGTGAAGCAAGTAGACAGTATAGACTAGTGAGAAGACGAAGCGACCAGCATCACACTGTATTTCAGATTGTACTCGGAAGTTATCGATATTCCAAAATGAAACGTTTTAAACAAAAGTAGTGTACAATGTTTTTAATTTCAACATCTAACAAAAGAATGAACAGTCGTATTGTTACAGACTCCACACACTCTCTTTCTGTATGCATAAGTTTAGTTTGAGACGTTTGATTGCAATTGCTTCAGCAAATCGTAGTAAATTTATTGTCCTCTGTATGTTTAATATTTTGAAGAAAATGAGAATCTTAACGGAAAAACCCGTAACCACAAGATGAGTAATTGTACTTTGTGAATATCTGCTTCCTTTTAGGCATAAGTTTCTTAGGATATACTGTGAAAACCGGATGGAAGCCCTTCTTTCCGTCTTTCCAAAATACTTACTCCCGTAAGTGCATATAAATTTATAAATGCAGTTGGAGTTGACATCAGCAGGGTACTTGTCTAGTTTAGATTGGCTGATAGAGCATGCGGTGTTGTATAGTGTTAGGACCTTAGCTGCAGGGAAGCATCTTTGTATTGCTGCTTTCGTTCTCCCGTCAGTCTCTTGTGATACTGCTTCTCCTTATTTTCTGGTGTCTGTTATAGGTTAACTTCGGCACTTACGTATATATATATATATATATATATATACATATACATATGATTATCCATCCCTTTGGTTCCCAGTGGAGCATGGGCTTCAGTCCTCATCAGTTGGCTTCAAGATTACCCATAAGCTTACATTTCCTCCTCACACGATCTTCTACTTGTCGCCCTTCCCCCCCCCACACGCAATCTGTCGTTTCCTATTAGGTTCCTACTAAAGGGCCTGTCCAACGTATTATGTCAATCAACAGTCTCCTAAGCGTAAGTCGAACCCAGCCCGACTTCCTTCTGAATCTACTTTAGGCGACAGCTCCTTCCGTGATTGGTTTGTTGCCAGGTTTCCTTGTTGCTTATCCTTCTCTGAATAATATATCTAATAAAAAAATGAATAGGCAAAGATTTTTGCAATCCCATTTTAATATATTTTTTTGTACTGATTATTGATTGATTGAATAAGTTAACATTAAAACACATTGACTAGCTGTCATACAACCTTCAGCAAACATATAAATATAATAAGACTACTCTTTAAATTTACCAACATGTGTAATTGATTTTTTCTTTTCTTGAAGATTATAAGAACTAAATACTGTATGCTACTATTGATTTTAGATCAGTGTGAAAGTACAAGTAATACGAACAAAGAAGATGAATACAAAGAACCTGACAGTGGAAGGTAAATGAGCACAGTACCCAATGATTTCCGTTTTATTGTAATTTTTTTGTTTATACCATTATGGGTAAATTTTGCTTTGATGAAGTCTCACAGTGTTATATAGTAATGTTTACTGATGACGTTTCGAGCACAATTTATTGCACATAACCATATCAAGGTAATCACACGACTTCCTAAATTCATTTATACAGTTCCGTTGTTTCCCACTTGATTTTCACTTGATTTGATTGGTAGTAGTATTTTCCATATTTCGGGTATGAGTGATGAATCTTTCCTATTGCATATGTTGGGTGTAGATTCTAGGTAGGTGGAGAGCCAGACAGGTTGATCACTGAATCCTTGTTCATCGAATCTACACCCAACATATGCAATAGGAAAGATTCATCACTCATACCCGAAATATGGAAAATACTACTACCAATCAAATCAAGTGAAAATCAAGTGGGAAACAACGGAACTGTATAAATGAATTTAGGAAGTCGTGTGATTACCTTGATATGGTTATGTGCAATAAACTGTGCTCGAAACGTCATCAGTAAACATTACTATATAACACTGTGAGACTTCATCAAAGCAAAATTTACCCATAATGGAATTACACTCTACCACAGTGCACAAGTTTTTTTTGCTCATAGCCTCAGTTATCTTATTAGACGGCTGGAGCCAATTAGCTGGATGCCATCGACTTAGGCTTCGTACTTATTATGGCATTAATCACCACCACAGCATATCTACAGCTTGTAAAGAACTTATATCCACCTGGAGATTCAAATCCGCATCATCCAACAAACGCTGTATTCGGATAAAATAAAATACCACTAGGCTGTTTGATTTAAGAAGGGATTTCGTACAATAGAGATGCAGTTGGTTGTCATTTCCAGCCAGTCGGTTGTAGGTTCCAATCCTGAACCTTGTACTCCACCTTGGGCTACTTAGTAGTATCATAAGCCCTCACATAATAAATAGGGTTCATAGCCTACTACATAAAAATCCGTTCTACGTCACTCAATTAATCAACCAATCAACTTCTACCTTTTTATAGGATCAAACTTATTGCATAGTTGAATAACAAAAGAGAGCCAGAGACAGTAACTTATGTAATCTTATTTTCCAAAAGGAGTCATTTAGGATCTGGATGGTTAAGTTTTAAAGTCTCTCATTTCGTGATTTAACTGCACACATTTAACTTCAGAAAAGTCGATTATTCCCTGGCCCAAAAGACACACAGTAGGATCGGAAGAGTATGTTTCTAATACAAGTGAGCGAAAAAGCGACCAAGAGTCCAAAATACATGGCATATATTGATCCAGTCACCAGTCTTGAGTTGCATGCTGGATCCTGATTGGTTGACAGCTTCATCTGAAAACATGTGATTTGTGTGTAATCTGACCAAGACACTAAGGAGATAGATTGTGGACGCATATCACATTTAGTAAAAAAATACTTCTCACGGACTGTCTTATTTTAGCTAACCTAATACGTACACTTCCAAATCTATGTCAATTTTCGGTGATCTTCAGGGTTCGGTGACGGACGGTGAAATCTTTCAGGGATTTGACTTTCCTACCGGTTTATACAGTCCCTGTTACAATCGCTGGCATATATCCCTAACAAACTAGGCTTTGAAAAGTCGACTGAATTCTATGATAGTCTCTGTTTAATAGTCTGGTTAAAAATAGTTTCGCATCCTAGACGTGAATACAGTGCCATATTTCCGAGTTTTTTCAGTTCTTGGTTATACGTTATTAGTTAGCTTTGGTTCAAACTAAGTGCACCTTTTAAAAGGTCTTTTTGACATTAGATTTTCAGTGCATATGTGACATAGACGGTATGCAGCTCTTATGTTAATTTCAATGGTAACATTTAAGAAGAATCCCATTATTTTCAGTGTAGATTTTTTCACAAACAAAGATGAGTTAGGGATTATTGAAAACCAGGGAACACTGGACAGCTATTTTATCCTAGTTTGTAATGATCACTAACTGATACTGTTTCGTGATGGAATCCAGACTGAAATTACACCATATCCCTACAAAATCTCATAATCTAAATATTCATCTCCAGCCCCTAAATGACTGCTACGGGGATGACCTCAAACTGTATGTGGAAGTCGTCATCAGTGGTACGGTAGTAGTACTACTTCACGAGTTCACAAAATTTAGAATTCACACCACTGGATTCCATCCTAAATGACTAAATTATCAACCAGCTTGGTCTCCTAACCAGAGAGCCTCTGGTTCGATACTTGATGGGCTCGTGAGTGTTCACTCTTGAAGAGCCCTAAACTAGGACGAAAAAATCTGTCCAGCACTCTGTGGTTTTCAGTGATCTCTCTAACTGATTTCGGTTGAAATTAATCGCCACAAAAAGTCTGAGTATTTTATCATGTCGTAGTTTTAATTTTTCCCAAATCTTTTTAATCGCACTTATCGCTATTAATACATACGCTTTCAATACAATATGGCTTACTTTATCTTTATTGGATAGGATGCATTTAAATTTTGCATTATTGTACAAACTACTCAATAGTTCTTGTTGATAGTATAATTATTAGTGAAAACTTTGACATGTTCGAAGTCAATTGATGGGTGGTAACGAGTATTGGAATCTAGGATGCTGATTTCGTCCAAATTAGAACTCATCACTTGGATATGCCTGCATTCCCTCTTTAATAATAATAATAAGGATAAATTCATGCAAGTGTTTACATAATTTAAGCAATCAGTCATCTTGAATGTGTAAGCAGGAATAATATCTGTGAGAATTTTGTGTACTGTGGAATACATCAATTAATTATAATTGCTTGCATGCAGTATCATACTGTGGAGCAACCACTCGAGAGCACTCTACTTCGGTGGACCATTCGCACCGATGGTATACATGATAATGCATTGGTAAGCATTGTTACGCAACCATTGGTTGCGTCAATCAATTATGCACTGCACAGACAAGCCCAATAGAACTCATATCACATACAAGACCAGCCAAACGTACTATTATATGCAAAAGTAGCACGCGTAGCGTCTCTATAGTGACCATAGGCCCGTACAAACGAAGCCAGCAGCCGCCAAATTCAATGAAGTCGTTATCCCTGCCAACCAATTTAGCATGAAAATAGCTTCTATACGTCTGTCAAGACTATAGAAAACCAATCACAGTCATTTAAACGAGCCATGAGAATGGTTTAACTCATGCTCATATCGTTTATATAGCTTACGTTGTGTTTACTATAGGATTTATTGGTAATAAGTAAGACAGCCTACCTGGGCGCTATTAAGCCTAGACAAGCTCAAAACCGCACGGTCACTATGTGTAAGCAAGAATAATATCTGTGCAAATTTTGTGCACTGTGGAATACATCAATTAATTATAATTGCATTTCGGTGGTTCTCCATTTGTTAGAGATCATGGATTTCATCAGGTTATCTCGTCTAAAAAATTAGATGAAAGTAGGTATACCAACTCAAATAGTCCAGGAACAGCTACTTCATTGTGCGATGAACATGGAGTTTCAGTTTAACAATGAATATTTTGTTAAGCGAATGGCGTCAACTTGGGCTCCCACTGAGACCTATTTTTAACCGATATGTTTATGTTTATGAACTTTCGTTCTGCTGTAGATATATCGAATAAAATTTAAAAAAACCAATACCGCGGTCCTTCTCAAAATGTGGCTCACCCATAATCGACTTCAAACATGGAACATAGAAAGGCAATCATTTATTGATGCTATGCTAACAAAAAAGCTAGGTTCCAAATTAGATAAGTTTATTTTAAATATCACACAGTGATGTAGTATTAACAATTGGATGACAAGGTTTCCAGCATAAATTATTGCCAATCATAATCAAATCAGTTTAGTCACACGTTTTCAAAATTGGTCTTATATAAGTGATATGATTATGAACAATAAATTGTGTTCGAAACGAAGATAATACTGTTACACTGTTTGATATATCTGATAAACAAACTAATATGGAATCGTCTTAATAAAGCAGGATTTAATGAATTCATCAAATTTCTGTAGAACTCTTCAGCTGAATACTCTTTATACGGGAATATATATATATATACTATTGAAATTAAATCGGAAGATTTAAGACTGACAAGCAAATAAACTACATTGAATTAATCACACAGAACGACACGTGCGAATGTTTTCCAGTTAATGTTCAGATAGATAAGGAGAAAGGAGTATGAGAGATTAAGATTAAGGTAAAATGCATTACGCTTCAATTAGATCACTTAATTAAACAATTTGCCATTAGATAATATATCAAGAATTGAGAACTGAGCATTATTAATGGTAATAGCTATAATAATAATAATGTTGAAGTGAGTTAAGATAATGTTGCTGATAAAAGGTAGTTTTAAATGAATTAAGAATAATAATAATAAGGGGTCGAATAAAGTGTTAATAATATTAATATCACCCACCTGGAAAAAAGCTCAGCCATTGCACTGCATTCATTTGCATGTAATCACACAGCGATAGGGTGGGACAGGTTGAGAATATTAAAAAGTTAGGTGGAGATACAGAGAGGTTAATCATTGAAACTTTGTTTATCGATTCAGCACCACACACGTGCAATCGGTATGACGCAACGCCTATACCGGAGATATGGAAAGTGGCAACAAACAGCAAAGGGAAGTTCGAGAGACAGAAAGAGAGAAAAAAAAAATATATATATATATGAGACTAAAACTGATATGATTATGACTGGCAATAATTCATGCTCGAAACCTTGTCATGCAGTTTTTAATACTGCATCACTGTGTGATTATTAAAATAAACTTACCCAGTATTGAACTGTGCATCGGTAGCATATCGGTAGAATGCTCGCCGACCACGTCTCAAGTTGTCCGGGGTTCGACCTCCAGCCGACGCAACCCTTTACCTCGCTAAGCTAGTAATAAGACTGGTAAAGAGGGAAGGTTTGGCGTGAGGCTAGCAGCCCCATCCCGTAAAGATAAACACCATTGCTACCGAAACTTCAAGCCCCTAGCATGTAGCCCTATGTTCCACATGGAACGCAATATTATACGGGGTATTTTCCTGAAGAAGTCATGGATTGGTCAATATACCCACTTCAAAATATATGTTTCTCTTGCATACAAACGAAATCCCATCAGTACCGTAATATTTTATGCTAGAAACATTTGTACAACTGACTCTCAGGGTTATGAAGTGAGAAAAACAGAAAACTCATTATATGATAATGGATATCCAGAAAAAACTTGTTAAAGTCTCCATGATGAGAACAGCTAGAGAGAAATATTTGTGCGTCGGTGGCACAGTGGTTAGGACTCTCGCCGACCATGCATATGGTCCGAGGTTCGACCCCCTGGCGGCGCACACCCGATATCTATGGCCGGCCTGCAAAATTTGGGCTACCGATATCCATGCTGAAAATTCCATACCTGTACCTAAAAATACGGTGTGGCATCAAGCTGTGATCAAAAAAACAAAAAAAAGAAATGCCCGAAAATGGTGCACATGAAATACATATATATATATATATATCGTTCCAAAGAGATGCAGCTACTGAAACTCAGAAAAACAGTAGCTAAAACATTCTCTGCTACAACACTGTGTTCAAAATTCAACACACATTGTATATATCCAATGCACACGAAGGATAAGCTACCGAATCTGGTCAGTTTTAATGTGCAATTATGACTTTCACTGCTTTTGTGAAGGTAGTAACATGGGTAGAACCATCATCTACTTCAGCTTTTTACAATGCCGTCATAAAGCTAATCCGGAGTTCTATATTGTCACACCAAGTGCTTACAGAGTAGAAGACTGATAAATATTCAGACTCTAAAATTCTATACAAGGTGCCACCTCACTTATCAAAGTTGTACGCCTTCAACTGCTAAGCACAGTTGAGACAGATGCCCCAAAAATGATTCACTCTAATATGATGTTCTAAAAAAAGTTTATCACTCCAGTCACTCTTCATCCCATAGCGTCATCCCTTTCCGAAAACTAGAATAGTTTTCAGTTCCAGAGATACCAAATAACTGACTGATAGAATTCAGTCTGCACCAAAGAAAGGACTAGACACGTCGCACTAGTTACTAGTGTCCAATCAAACTACCCACTACAGTCCTACAGGAGGTCAATCGCGAGCCAGAGCGAATAGCTCAATGGTAACATCTCTGACTGCAGAACTCACTGGGTGACGTGGGTTCGAATCTCAGAAGGGACATGAGTTCCTTCAAGGTTGCAGATACGCCTTGCTGACTGGCGAGTGCCAACTAGCACGAAACCTAGGTCCAAAGCTTCCTGTGGCCGATTGCCTCCAACTATCTAATATCATCATACCGAATAATTGTAAATATTATCTATATTATCATTCTAATGTTGTTAAAATTCCATGTTTTAATTTAGTTTCACAATTTTCTAACAGACTAAACACTGCGTTATCTAATCGCCATGAGATAACAGTCATTTCTCCTCTCTATATCTATATATATGTATATATATATATATATTTTACTTACACACTTACAATGATTGACTATCTAGATTATGTAAACACGTATGAATTTGTCCTTGTTATGATTATGATGATCACCTTTTAATTATAATCCACTAGTTTATATGATTGAACTTCGATGGTGTTCTCTAATTATCACAATAGGAATATTTGACTTATTCTTGTAAAGACGCTTCAATGATATCTGAGGATTAATACATTGTGATTTGGTGGATAGCTGTGCATTTCATCCTGCAATCTTCAGTGAGTTGTTGTATTCCCACTGGAACTGGAATTTATACTTTTACATTTACACTACTTAAATAAGTAGACACTGTAATAAATGAAAATATTTGCATATTTCCTAAGCATATTATTATTCCTGAACTGTTTTATTATTATTATTATTCAGACCATCAGACTGTGAATTCAATATACCATTTGATGATATCAAATTGGTCGACTGCTTACTAAAAGGTGAACGCAAAGCAATATACAAGTAAGCTGACCGCTTTCGTTTATCTTTTTTTTCACAAGTATCATAGTGGCGTGTTTTTTTAATTTCGTTTCGAAACCATTTTTTGTGATACATAGCTGCGTTCAAATTAGAAACAATCAGTGTGAATCGCATTGTTTTAAACGGATGGAAATAATTTTTTTATAACCTTATGGAGTCATATATTTCCGTACTTTGGATTTTCTGTAGCCGCTGGGTTGATTATCCGAGGTAGGGTCACTAACCCTACCCCCTAAACCTTCCCACTTTTTCCAGGCTTAGAACTGCTTTTATTAAAGTAGTGAACTAACAAACTAGGCGAGAAGATGAAAATCAACAGGAAATTGTTTTTTTATTCCTTCACGTTCCCAATGGAACATAGGGCGCCTTCAAGCTAGAGGCTTGAAGTTTCTGTAGCAGTGGTGATTATTTTTACAGGATGGGGTTGCTAGCCTCATGTCCAACCTTTCCTCTTTACCAGCTTTATTTCTGGCTTAGCGAGGTAAAGGAGTGCGGCGTCGGCCGGGGATCGAACCCCGAACCATGTGCATGGTCGGCGAGCATCCTAACCATTGTGCCACCGACGCTAAAAGACACTGAAGAGAACAGGATGGAATGAAGATGTGCTGATGACGTTTCACTCGGAATCTAAGGGAATAATTATAATTCACTTATACTCCACTGTCCCAAAATATAACTCTGTATGTCGACTTAATTTGTTGAGAGTTAACACTTTTCGATGACACTAAGCGTAATATTCAAGTATTTTCGAGGTTACCCTCCTTCTCCTCCTGCTCCTCCTCAATGAAGTTATTCAGCTCATTAGTTAGTTAAAACTCAGATAACTAGAACACACGACACTATTTTTTCAAATACCCCTGATTTTGCTTAATATTAAAAACCCACTGAAACATGCTTAGAGCAAGTAAAGCCAGTTTTGATAAATTGAGACAATCAAGCCGAAGCAAAATGAAGGGAGGATAAGATGGTGGTAGCAGTTGTCTAATTCATCTGTCTTCAACTTACGAAGTAGCAGTCTAACTTTCCAACCTTCCTGGATGCTCACAAGATCCATTTTAACTTGGTCTTCATATCTGAGGAACCGAGTATAGAATGTGTTGCGTCTGCGTCATAAATAAATTCGGACAAGCTGTGGTTGCAGTTATCACTGACCGGTGATAAATACATCCTCCAGCAAAGGAATATATCCTCAAACCTGGAAGCTTCTACTCCACTGATTTCTGCAAGGGTGAAGGCCCCGTATCAGTGTTTTAACCGCTACCAAAAACTAGTATAATACAATAGGAATACTGATGTTAGTGACACCAAAATTTTGAAATGACCGGTTTTGTTGATAAATAACAGTTTTCTATAGTTGGTTTGTAAGGATTAGATTTGTTTTTACGAGTTGATCACGGATTGATATCAGTTAGAGAACCATTGAAAACCAGTGCTGGAATACTGGACAGTTGTTTCATCCTAGTTTGGGAATCATAGGCAGTACGCACCCACCACCAGTGTTCGAACCCAGGACCTTCCGGTTACAAGGCAAGCTCGTATACCATTCAGCCACTAGGACCCGATTCAATGGCCAGCCCATGAATTCTAACTTCTACCAATTCGTGATTTAGCGCGACCACCAACCAATGTCATCGGTGCGAACTCCATGTTCACACTTGATTGGATGGTCTACGAGCTTGCCATGTAACAGGAAAGTCATGGGTTCGAACCCCGGTGGATGCGTACTGCCGGTGATTCCCAAACTAGGAAGAAACAGCTGTCCAGTATTCCAGCACTGGTTTTCAGTGGTTTTCTAACTGATATCAACCCGTGATTAACTCGTTAAAACAAATAACAGTTTTCTTCACCAGTCACTCTATGCTTAACGTCTAGATCGTACATTTGGTTCTCAGCTATAGGTTACTGAAACACAAATTTTCGTTCCTTTACTCTCTCGCTTTCTCTCTCACACAACTTTGTGCTTCACACTCTACTTTATGAGCTTAAATGTGTTTTTCATATCAAACCACAATGTCATCCACTAATCCTGTACATCCTGAGTACATTGCTTAATGGGGGAGTCAAACTGAAAAGAAACAGCTGTCCCTAGTAATCTCCCATTTTTCACTGGTCCTCTAGCTGCTATCAGTCCACTATGGAACCCACCTTGGGACTAATCAAATCCCCACAACCCAACAGTTCAAAGATATCCATTTTGTGGTGAAGTTTTCTCACTGCTATTGGTGTTCCACTAAACATCCTAACAGTCTATTATTTCATGTGTATTCCTACGTTATACAACACTTCATTTTAACAGTTTATACAATGTGACAAAGAGAAGTAGGATATTGTCCATAAAGCAGGTTATCATTATCTAAACACAACAAAGAAAAAAAATCAATACATATATCACGTGATCATTTATGATAAAATGGTTTTGGTATATTTACAATTTGATTGGATGAAATATGTTGGACAAAAAACGGAAAATAGCAAATATGACATTAACATGACTGAAAGATTGATAGTTTAGTGCATATGGTTAGACTGTTCAAGCCCAATAGGATGATTGTGCCCAGACTGTAATTCATGTATATTCCTCTTTTTTCTGAGGTGATTTAACAACACTTCTTAGACAATCAGAACAAAAGCATGTCTGTACAGTATTCATTTGCTACCTCCTTCGTCTTTATTTCATGGTTTATAATACCGGCTTACGACTTTCTCCATTTCTCTTGTTATTAACTTAATTTATTATCTTTCTGCTCAAGATTCCTTCAGATATAACTTAAGATATTATTGGTTACAGGATTTCATCATGAGCTGACATCGGTTAGAGAACCACTGAAAAACTTGCAGGGAGTACTGGACAGCTGTTTCGTCCTAGTTTGGGACTCTTCATCAGTACGCACCCACACCACAGGGTTCGAACCCAGGACCTTCTGGTTACGAGGCAAGCTAGCTCGTAGACCATTAAGCCACTGAGACCCGATCCAATGGCCCATGAACTCCAGGTTTTCCAATGGTTCTCTAACCGATGTCAGCTCATGATGAAATCCTGTAACCAACCAACCAATCAAATCCCTACAAACCAATACTTGAAAATAATATATTATTATTCCCTTGGGTTCCTAGTAGAACACAGGACTTTAGTAGCACGTCACCGTTTCATTCTGTTCTCTGAAGTCTTTTTTTAGCTGGTCCCATGATCGCCCATACTCATTCATTTCTTCATTACAAGATCTTTTCCATGTTTACCCTTGGACCCATAGGAAACTTTTCATTTCCTATATGAGTTCCACACCTGGGCTTGTATGAGATATAATATTACTCAACCATTTCCCGATTGTATATCCAATCCACCTTCATTTCTTTCTGAATATTTGTTAGACGACAGGCTTTTGACTGTTTTGCTGCACTGTCATAATACCTTGTTCCTTATCGTCTCTGGCCGACCAGCCATCTTGTCTTCAATATCAAACCAACAAAAGCAGGTGTTAATGAAAGTTCTTAGCAGCCTGTTGGAGACGCTTTTTGATGATGCATACACCAAGTCTCTGAAACATATCGAGGCACTGACCTGACTAACATTAGTGTTGAAAATCCGATTCTTGTTTGTTATGATCATAACAGCAGATTTCCAGGCTGACTTCAGAGTGATATAAGTCTGTCTTGCTTTTCCGATCCTGCCTGGCTTTGAAATTCTTATGTTGAACACAGTCTTTAGTCGAAACGTTTCTGCCTGGTCAGGTAAGTGAAAGGGATAACCTCCTGTGTACTTCAACCGCTGATAGTGATTGGTTGTCAGGTATCTTCATCACGTCTGTCTTCTCTATCTTCACGTGAAGTCTTTAACGTATTTATACTTATTACCTCCCCCCCCATCTATATGAATTTCTAAAAAATATCATGAGTGAACAACGTTACTGAAAGTAAAGCTTTCTTTGAAATAATTCAGAAGATTTCTATCTCAGATGAGTACTTTTTCGTGTTATTTTGTTGTTGTGTCCTCCAAGTTGACATAATTACGAAGAGTTCACTGTCCTTCGGAAAAAACATTTTCAGGTCTACCCTGGTGACCATCAATGCGATATGTTATTCCCATAGATTTCCACATGACTGCATTCACTTGCATGAATACTGAAGGTGAAGATCACGTGATTCAATGGTAATATTGAGGACTGAAATAGGAAATCTAAAAAATACCCTAATATAGAATGTTTACTCTCAGCAATGAAGTAGGATACGATGCTTTACTTTGGAGTTGTAGTTCAGGGGAAGTTATATCTAATGGGGTATTAATATCTTTTGAAATGACTTCCAGCACTTAGGAATTACAAGTCAGTTAGTCTGCCAAACCTATACTGACACAGTGCATTAAAGGTAAGTCATCATTAAAGATGGTCATGTCAATTTGTGTATACAAATTTCATGAAAAATCCCCATCCAGACATTAATGAAAAAATTACACGTAGTTCAGCAAAGAGTCTCTTTTCGGTGAATTCATTCACTTAGCTGGAAAGTCGCAATTATGTGTTCAAAAGAAATTTGTACAGCCCTTTCTTTGCCATGGCCAACTGCATAATATGTGTTAAGTTTTTTTAAAACGACTTTTTTGTAACTATCTTTTGACTTTGTTAATTTTTACAATTTTTACAATTCTAGCTAATTCTATTAAATTGTTTGTATATTACTTAACTCTTCTGAGTCATCCTATTCTTCCTAGTCATCATTACTATATAACAGTTTTTTGGTTATGTAATGACTTGTTGCCAACGCCTAAGAATCAACTTATCTTGAATTCCGTAATTAACTTTCACTCTTCCTTTAAAACTTGAATATCTTGTTACTAACATCTGTTAGTTGATTATTTTGATGACATATAACCGCTTAATTTAAACCCCGCTATACTTAAAGCTGATTAACTAAAATAACCACTTGATTCGTAAATAATTTTCATGTAAAAAAAACTATATATTAGTGTAGAGCTAGCCAGGTGATGA